AAGGAAATGGCAACCCACTCCAGTATTCTTGCCTGGAGAATCCCATGGACAGAGGAGCCTGGCAGGCTACAGTCCATGGGGTCACAAGAGTCAGACATGACTTAGCGACTAAACCACCACCATTCTGCATATAAGTTAAATAAACAGGGTGACAATATACAGCCTTGATGTACTCCTTTCCCGGTTTGGAGTACGGTACAGCCACATGCTGCAAGGTACAGCCAAAAAATAAAAATAAGTAAAATAACAATAAAAATAATAAAATAATTATTAAAAGTTTAAGTTGATATGTTGTATTTTCATTCAGTTCAAGATTTTTTTTTTTTCTTTTTTTGGCCAAGAGGCATGCAGGATTTTAGTTCCCCCACCAGGACTCAAACCCGCCCCCCCTGCAGTGGAAGCGCAGAATCTTAACCATTGGACCGCTAGGGAAGTCCTCCATCTCTGTGTGTGTGTGTGTGTGTGTGTGTGTGTGTGTGTGTGTGTGTGTAAGGTTATGTAATGCACCAAATGCACAGTATGCTGCTCCACACAGCCTGGAGGGAATGACTGGGCGCCCCCTAGGGCTCGGTGTGAAGTGGTGGCTCTCCACGTAGCACAGGAAGAAAAACTTAGCGGCGCTCCACTAAGGGGTCATTAACAGCCTCTCTGGGGGAAAGGATTTCAAGTTCTTTTAAAACTTTTTTTCCTCCTTACTAAGTTGCAATTCGTGACTTTTCTACAATGACGTGCATGCCAGGTCGCTTCAGTCGTGTCTGACTCTGCAACCCGGTGGACTGTAGCCCATCAAGCTTCCCTGCCCATGGGATTCTCCAGGCAAGAATACTAGAGTGGGCTGCCATTTTCTCCTCCAGGGGATTTCCCTGACCCAGGGGTCAAACCTGCATTTCCTGTGGCTCCTGCATTGCAGGCGGATTCTTTACTGCTTGAGCCACCCGGGGAGCCCTCAAAAAGCAACACGTCCTTGCGACCGTGACAGGACTCGAACCTGTAATCTTCTGATCCGAAGTCAGACGCCTTATCCATTAGGCCACACGGCCACCTACAATGACAATGACAAGACAGTGATCTTGTAACAGGAAAAAAATGTAATGGAAAGAGCCTGCTGAAGTGTTTTAGTGATCTGAAATTGTACAGAATGTCTATCTTCCCACAACAACAACGAAATTTTCCAAGTGTATGGAGGAAATTCCTTCGTGGTCCAGTGGTTAAGACTCTGTACTTCCAGTGCAAGCGGCATGGGTTCAATCCATGGTCAAGGTACAAAGATCCTGCATGCTGCTCGGCAGGGCCAAAAAATATGTATATATTGAGTTGGCCAAAAATTCATTTGGGCTTTTCCATAAGATGGTACAGAAATATCCAAACAAACTTTTTTGCCAACTCAATAAAATAAATAAAATGAAAAGTGCACTGAACCCTAAAGTGTAGTGTTATGATTGTGAATGATTATAACTGGAAATAACTATAAGTAGCCCCAGCCCCAAGGCTTTTATTGCATATGAAAAACAAATGGGGGGAGTGCGGGGTGACAGACAAGGGTAAGGGATTGAGGTACAACTACTGATACCATGTATAAAATAAGTAAGCTACAGGATGTATTGTACAGCTCTGGGGAAACATAGCCAATATTTGATAATAACATTAAGTAGAATAAATTTGTAAGTTTTGAAGCTCTATGCTGTATACCTGAAACTAATATCATATTGTAAATCAACCATATACCTCTATTTTTCTTTAAAATGATGGGCTGGTTCTCAGATTATCTTATTCTTTAAATTCCCTCTTTCTTCTCTTTTTCCTGCTCTCCCAACTCCACCTCCAGGTTTCTACCTTGCAGTCTTTGACCCGAATGGCAAATGTAGTTTAATGAATCTCTCAGTGAAAAAAAACAAGAAAAAGATAAACAGGATGCTTTCGAAAGTTCATGATGCAATCACAAGGATCCACCCAGGTGGACTGTCTGCACAAAGGCACGTGAACTTGTTCTGGCCCAGGTGGTTGTTCGCTGGCCAAGGAAAACTCATAACTTTCTTTGCACTGGCCCCAGTGAACATTGCTCCCAGACAGAAGTGGCAGGAAGTAATATGGATACAAACTTTCCCCCAAGAGTCCCTGGGGGTGAGGGAGGAGAGGGTGGGACAAATGGAGAGAGTAATGTTGACATACATACTCTATCATGTTTAAAACAGATAGCTAGTGGGAAGCTGCGGTATAACACAGGGAATTCAGCTGGATGCTCTGTGATGACCTAGACGGGTGGCGATAGCGGAAGGAGTGGGAGAGAGACTCCAGAGGGAGTGGATACATGTATGTGCTGTGCTGTGCTAAGTTGCTTCAGTGTCTTACTCTTTGTAACCCCATGGACTGTAGCCCGCCAGGCTCCTCTGTCCATGGGATTCTCCATGCAAGAATACTGGAGTGGGTTGCCATGCCCTCCTCCAGGGGATCTTTCCGACCCAGAGGTTGAACTTATGTCTACTGCATTGGCAGGTGTGTTCTTTACCACTAGCGCCACCTGGGAAGCCCAGATATATACATACTTATTGCCGATTCTTGTTGTACAGCAGAAACTAACATAACATTTTAAAGCAATTATACTCCAACTAAAACTAAATTTTAAAAAATTATCTTGGGACTTCACTGGTGGTCCAGTGGCTGAGACCCCTGTGCTCCCAAGGCAGGGGGCCCAGGTTCAATCCCTGGTTGGGGAACTAAGATCCCACATGCCACAGCTAAGACCCGGCACAGCCAAATAAATAAATATTAAAAAAAAAAAAATTACCTTAAGTACCTATAAAAAGAAAGACTCCTGTTTTCTTGAGGGGTGTGGTGAGGGTTACTAGTATTTTCAAAGGGCCCGCCAAAATGAGCGGTAGGGCACCAGCCTTCAGGCTAGACAGACTTGGATTTGCAATTCTCACCGGGTTGATTCCTAGCTGGTGACCCTGTGCAAGACTCTCCTAACCTATCAGGGATCTCAGTTTCTGCATCTGTAAAATGGAGGTAAGAATGCCGATTTCCTGGGGCTGCTCTGAGGATGAAATGAGGAGATAAATAAATGCAAAATGCTCAGCACTATCATATGACTCAGGGGACTCCCTTGGTGACTCAAGCAGTAAAGAATCTGCCTGCAAAAAAAAAAAAAAAGAATCTGCCTGCAATGCAGGAGATGCAGGTTTGATCCCTGGGTCAGGAAGGTCCCCTGGAGGAGGAAACAGTAACCCACTCCAGTATTCTTGCCTGGAGAATCCCATGGACATAGGAGCCTTGTGGGCTACAGTCCATGGGATCGCAAAAAATCGGACACAACTGAAGCGACTTAGCACACATCATATGACTCGTGTGCTCAGCAAACTGTATTGTATAAAATAAAGTATTCATTCAACCAATGTTTTTGCCATATAAATGCTAGGGTGGGTGAAACTGAGCAGCCCCTGCTCTGTGGAGCTTACAGATCAGTAGAACAGATAGTCATGGTGTAACCACACGAATAAAGAAGTACAAATTACACCAGATACTGAGAAGGAAAAGTCCAGGAAACTTAGAGAACATATAACCAGGGCCACCTAAACTAGTCAGTTTTTAACCCAGATGAAGTTACTACAGATGTCATAGACTGTTTTTGTTTTTCACTCAATGTTAAGAGAGTCCTTCACATGAACAATACGCTGAACATTTTGCAAAGAACTTTTCATAGTTGAGAATTTCATGTGGTCTGAAGCAAAGAAGATGATGCTTATTTAACAGAAATTAAAACTAAGGTGTAGAGAGGTTATGTAACTTCCTTAAGGCCAGACAACTCATTGAGGGAAAACCCAGAGATTAGATAAAACCCAGAGGTCCTTTGCTTCCACATCTATTGCTTTTTCAGTATCTCATTTTTTAAAAATTCTGAAATAGAGCCTATTTTCTTCTTTTGAAAATGTTGAAATATATAGTTTATTTACAAAAAAGCATGGGAAAATAAATATATGTGCATGATTTAAAGAAAACCTATGTAACTACTACTCAATCCAATGAACAGAAATTAACATAGCCCAAAAGTTCTTTCATTTATCCTTCCCCAGAAGTAATTCTTATATTAATCTTTTAATAACTCCTTTGTTAATCATTCATTCTTTTACCTTTTAAGAGTCTTTATCAAGTATGCATCTCAACAATATTATTGCTTGTTATTAATAAAATATTAATATTTATTAATAATAAAATATTATTGATTGTTTAAAAATGGTAGCCTAGTTTATGTTTTCTTCTATACCTTGCTTCTTCTCAATATTCTGTTTTTGAGATTATTCATATTGATTATGCCTATACCTCATTTTTAAAGATAAATAATATTCATTGTATGGTTACACCACAGCTTATTTGTGCACTCTTAGGTTAATAAGAACTTGGATCATTTCCATGTTTTTCTGTTACAGTTCTTTTTCCTTTGAAAGATGCATAAATTTATTTTTATAAAAAACTCTGGAAGATGTTACAAGATTTGTGAATTTAAATTTCAGTCCCTACGACCACAATATCAGTACTATATGCTCTATCATTTGAGTTTACCATCAGCCAGGAACTTTACACACATTAAAAAATTTTAATCCTCTTAACATTCCTATTTGATACATATTATTACCTTTTAGGCAGTGAAACTGAGGCTCCTGGAGATTAGACAATTTGTGCTGTGCTAAGTCACTTCTTCATGTATGATTCTTTGTGATTCCGTGGACAGTAGGCCACCAGGCTCCTCTGTCCATGGGATTCTCCAGGCAAGAATACTGGAGTGAGTTACCATTTCCTCCTCCAGGGGGTAACCCAGGGATGGAACCTGCATTTCCTGTGGCTCCTGCATTGCAAGTGGATTCTTTACCGCTTGAGCCACCCAGGAAGCCCTCAAAAAGCAACCCATCCCCTTGGGACTGTGGCAGGACTCAAACCTGCAATCTTCTGATCTGAAGTCAGACACCTTATCCATTAGGCCACACAGCAACCTACTAAACAACTCAGCTAAGGCTGTTAGGAGAGCCAAGATGACAGCTCAGACTAAATCTAACATTCTGGTTCCTGCCAATTCACTCCAGGACTTCATACTGTACTATGCAGTAATGAAAACCAAATGTAACGGTGGACTATAAAATCTATAAGTATCTACTATATTTTTTTATATTTGTGACTGTAGTAAAACACACATAACAGGGGATTCCCTGGCGATCCAGTGGTTAGGACACTGTGCTTCCATTGTAGGGGATTCGGTCCCTGGTCAGGGAACTAAGATCCCACATGCCTCTCAGCTCAGCCAAACAAACAAACAAACCAAAACATCTTATCTACTTTTTTTCATCTGAAGTACTTTTAAGTTCAGTAGTGTTAAGTACATTCACACTGTTGTACAATCCTCTCCAGACCTCTTACAGCCATTTTTGTATATATCATCTGGGGCACAAGGGCAGCATTTTTCTCTAGGGCATGTCATTGGGTGGAATCACATGGGTTTGCATATGTCCGACTTTATCAGTTAAGGTCAGGCTCTTTTTCAAAATGTTTGCACCAATTTATACTCCCATAGGCATTTACTTTTAAGTATTACATTCAAATGTTAAACTTTATTTTTAAGTTCCAACACAAAAAGATAAAAAAGACAATACAATGAAAAAATCTCTGTCCCCTAATCATCTTATTGTCTCCCCACAGATAATCAAAATTACCAGTTTCTGGTGATCATCCTTCCAGAAGTATTTTTTTGCATATATTTCCCCCTTATACAACAACTTGTAGCATTCTATACATACTTTTCTGAAGTCTGTTTGTTTCTCTTAACAAACATTATAGGCAATATAATTTGGTGGTCTCTGAAGCAGATTGCCTGGATTCATATCCAGCTTCATGCTAAACTGGTGGTGATTTTGATTAGGTCATGTAATCTCTCTGTCTTATATTATTTATCTTTAAAATCTGGAAGGAATCCTAACTTTATGAGAATTAAATTAGTTAATATATGTAGAGCATTTAGAATCCTGCCTATTAGAACTGTAACTATTGTCAGCATAATCATATCAATGCTTTCTCATTCTTTTTTATGGCTGTCTTATAGTCCATCATATAAATGTATCACAATTTATTTTAATCATAATTGATAAACATTTAAGTTGTTCAGGTATGTTTATAGCACAGCAATAAACAACTATCATTTCCCACTCACACAGGTGAGTATATCTAAAAGATGAAGTCCTAGAATGGAATTGCTGGGTCAAAGGTATTTAGTGCAGCTATCCTTTTAACGGATATTGACAAGCTTTCCTTCATGAATACACCACACACATTCATATATGTTAACTTAAAGGGATATAAAAAATTTAGACTAGAAAAACCCTAGGTAAAGCTACTTTACTGTTCAGATGAGTCAGCTGATGCCAAGAGAGAGGAAGTGACTGGCACAGCCTTAGTGGTGGAAATAGCACCAAAACCCTCGCAGGTGTCTGGATTTAAGAGTTCTAAAAAGACTTCTGTGGTGGCTCAGACGGTAAAGCATCTGCCTACAATGCGGGAGACCCAGGTTCAATCCCTGGGTTGGGAAGATCTCCTGGAGAAGGAAATGACAACCCACTCCAGTATTCTTGCCTGGAGAATCCCTTGGACAGAGGAGCCTGGTGGGCTACAGTCCATGGGGTCGCAGAGTCGGACATGACTGAGCATCTTCACCTTCAAAACGCTTTAAAGTCCTTGTTCAGTCACTGTGCTTAGTCGCTCAGACTAAGTCCTCGTTTAACATTTCATTATGTTGATGCTGCAGTTTGCTTACATAGTGGTAGTAACTTAATATCTAATTTCTCAATATTCTTTCCGATTTTTCCCCTGGGCTATTTTTCTACCCTGGATTGATCATGTGCGCAACCAAGTGACCCTTGGACAAATTTGACCGGCTTGAGGTTGACCAAGTGACCGATCTGCTCTCTGGACTTGGTAAACTGTCTCTAGGGAATCAGAGCTCCGCCAGCCACTCCTAAGAGATCATTTAAATTACATCAAGGGAAGTGAACCAAAGCATTTGCTCAGTAATCTTGCCGAGACCAATTTCGCAAGCTGGTGGTTGATTTGTAGTATTTCTTTTAGACCAAAGGAAGCCCGCCCCTCGGTGGCGAAGCCGTCATTGGCTGGCACGGCTGTCAATCACCAGCGAGTTAAATACGGAGAGGCCGGCGGCTCCTCCCTCAGGCCGTCCTGGAGCGCGTGGTGTGGCAGCAGTTGGGCTGCGCGAGTCGTGCCAGAGAGAGTCTCTGCGGTAATGTCGTTACGCCTTACTAACTGGAGTGGAAAGTAAAAGGGACCTCTCTTCCTCCATCCTCTTTTCCCTCTCCTTGCCGGGCAGGCGTAATGGCGGAAGTCGCGGCGACTGGCGCGGGCGGAGAGGTTATGGCGGCAGTGGCGGCAGGGGAAGGCTCCTCGGGCCCGGTGTGCTTACCTCTAGGCCGGGGCTTCTCGAACTACCGGCCCTTCGAGCCCCAGGCGTTGGGTCTCAGCCCGAGCTGGCGTCTCACCGGCTTCTCTGGCATGAAGGGCTGAGGCTGCAAGGTCCCCCAGGAGACGCTGCTCAAACTCCTGGCGGGACTGACGCGACCGGAGGTGCTGCCCGCGCCGGGCCGGGGCCTGGTCGGAGGCCTTGAAGAGACGGCCCAGGAAGCCGGTCTGCCGATGAGGTCGGAACCCAGCCCTCCCTTCCCCACCCTGGGCATTGGGATGGACTCCTGCGTCATACCCCTGAGACATGGGGGCCTGTCCCTGGTGCAGACCACTGACTTCTTTTACCCCCTGGTGGAAGATCCCTACATGATGGGGCGCATCGCGTGCGCCAACGTGCTGAGTGACCTCTACGCCATGGGCGTTACTGAGTGTGACAACATGTTGATGCTACTCAGCGTCAGCCAGAGTATGCCTGAGGAGGAGCGAGAAAAGATAACACCACTCATGATTAAAGGTTTTCGGGATGCTGCCGAGGAAGGAGGGACTGCAGTGACTGGTGGGCAAACGGTGGTAAACCCTTGGATTATCATCGGTGGAGTTGCTACTGTGGTATGTCAACCAAATGAATTCATCCTGCCTGACAGCGCCGTTGTTGGGGACGTGCTCGTGTTAACCAAACCCTTAGGAACCCAGGTTGCCGTCAATGCCCACCAATGGCTGGATAATCCTGAACGATGGAATAAGATAAAGATGGTGGTCTCCAGAGAAGAGGTAGAGCTGGGTTATCAGGAAGCCATGTTCAACATGGCTACGCTCAATAGAATTGCTGCCGGACTGATGCACACGTTTAATGCCCACGCAGCCACAGATATCACCGGCTTTGGCATTCTGGGTCACTCTCAGAACCTTGCAAAACAACAAAGAAATGAGGTCTCCTTTGTCATTCATAATCTGCCCATCATTGCCAAGATGGCTGCCATCAGCAAGGCCAGCGGGCGCTTCGGTCTCCTGCAAGGAACCTCAGCAGAAACTTCTGGGGGGCTACTGATTTGTCTGCCAAGAGAACAGGCAGCTCGCTTTTGTTCAGAAATCAAATCTTCAAAATATGGAGAGGGTCATCAAGCGTGGATCGTCGGTATTGTGGAAAAGGGAAACCGGACAGCCCGGATCATTGACAAGCCTCGCGTTATTGAGGTCCTGCCTCGTGGGGCCACTGCTACTCTTGCTCCTGAGAACTCCAGTGTGTCCTCTGAGCCTAGCTTGTGAGATGGAACAGCAGAAGTTGTTTGGACTGTACAGCCTTTGTACACAAGCATGGACCATTTGCTAGAGTTGATTCTAGGAAGAAATTTACAAAGAAGGTTGCCTGCATAGTAGTTCCAGCTGCTCTTCCTAGGTAATTTGAATCAGTCCATCAAAAGCTGCACATTCCAAGACTAGAAGTAACATTTTGGACTTCCGGGGGGTCGGGGGTGTATATTTGGTCATCTCTTGAGTGGAAAAAGCAGAAAACCCCCTGTTTCCTCTTTCCAAGAGCAAGAGGAGATTACTCATGCTTGAGATATTTTTCTTGGCACGGGGTTAATTGATTTCTGCACAGAGAGTGAGATTATTTATTAAAATTACACCAAAAATGCAAAATGAAAAACACTTAGATCAGAAATAAGTTCGGACCAATACTGTTGATAAATTGAAATTGTTATGAGAGATTTAAATGCAATGTCAAATTCTTAGATTACTCTGAAACACTGGCTCTTTCCTACTCTGGACAAGAATTGAGCAGCTTGTCCAATGACTGGGAAAGGAGGACCTCCAACCAACTTACTTGGTCTCTGTTAATGACGTCTCTCTCTAAACCCCTTTAAGGACTGGGAGAGGCAGACCAAACCCAGAGCCCAGGCCTTGGTGGACATTAAGATGTTAAATCTTGTGTTGAAAATTCCTGGTGATTTCATCAATAAAGCGATTTCTAGTGAAATAATTTTGTTGAAAATTCTTCTAGCGAATGTTTGTATCTTTGGAATTATTCACCTTTTACAGTTTTATAAAATGAACCAACTGATAACATTTGGTGTGGACAGCAAAGGATCCTGAACAGTCATAAATCCCAAGGCCTAGAGGGTGGGAGAGGAAATGGCAAAGGAAAGGTGTCAGCCATTCTTGGAAGATGGAAAGTAGGTGTAAGAGGGGTAATTAACTTAGAACAAAGGAGGCCAAAGTATAAATGCTTTCAGAGGGACTTTCCTGGTGGTCCAATGGTTAGACTCCAAACTTCCACTGCAGGGGACATGGGTTCCATCCCTGGTTGGGGAACTTAGACCCCACATGCCATGAGGTGTTAAGTTCCATCGCTCAGTCATGTCTGACTCTTTGCAACTCCATGGACTGCCGCATGCCAGGCTTCCCTGTCCATCACCAACTCCCAGAGCTTGCTCAAACTCATGTCCATCAAGTCAGTGATGCCATCCAACCATCTCATCCTCTGTCGTCCCCTTCTCCTGCCTTCAGTCTTTCCCAGCATCAGGGTCTTTTCCAATGAGTCAGTTCTTCATATCAGGTCGCCAAAGTATTGGAGCTTCAGTTTCAGCATCAGTCCTTCCAATGAATATTCAGCACTGATTTCCTTTAGGATTGATTGGTTTGATCTCCTTGCAGTCCAAGGGACTCAACAGTCTTCTCCAACACCACAGTTCAAAAGTTGAAAGGTGTAGCCCCCCTAAAACAATGCCTTCAGAGTTGGGGAACACTTAACAAGAAGCAAAGAGGTAGGCTCCAAATACACCAAGGAAGATAGGGTCAAAGATACTGGTTAAAACTTTATGCATAGGATAATTAGATCTTCACAGTTCTCAAACTTCTCCCCGTACCGTGTCATACAGCCACATGACTGCCTCTCATCTCTGTAGGTAAAGGGCAGTTTGGTCTCTGGAAAATGTGAATTTAAAAAATACTATAAAGTCGGGCAATCAGCAGAGCAGAGGACAGGGAGCCTCACTGAAAGCAAGAATAAAGACAAAAATGAGATAGTCCAGCCCACTCTCTCAATTAAGCTATTAGAAACACTGGGAAGCTTATATTGCCCCTGCCTGGCACAGGTGGAAGGTAGTTCTCTGGAGAAAATACATCTGCTCAGGGGGGAAAAGAAACTATAAATACAAACATTTAGGGAGCCCCCAGTGAAAATCCCTGTGCCAGGAAGCCTCCCAGTTGGAAAGCTTCACTTAAAAACATTCTTTTTAATGCCTCATTGTCAAATAGGAGCAGTAAAGGATCACCAGACATTTGAGGCAAGTTCCAACTGGAAAGAAGTAAAAGCAAAGAAGAAAAAAAAAAAGACTTTAAAAAGACTATACAGGGAGCAAAAGAAAAAAAACGCAGGAATAAAAGAAAAAGCAGCCATTGAAAAATAATGAGAGCAAAGCACTTAGAATATAAAAATACAGCTAAAAATCTTTAAATTCAGTAGTTTTTGTTGTCATTTATTTGCACCATAAGACATAAGGGATCTTAGTTCCCCCATCAGGGATTGGAAGCTTGGAGTCTTAACCACTGGACCACCACGGAAGTCCTCAGTAGAAGATTTAGAAGGTAAAGCTGACATTTATCAGAAAGGAGAACAAAACAAAAAGATGCACAATGAAGGGGAAAAACAGGAAAATCAGAGATGGGCCAGGAGGTTTAACATACAAGAGTTCCAGAAAGAGGTAATAAAGCATATGAAAGGAAGAAAACAAAGAATTATACAAGAAAGTTTTCTGAAATTTAAAAGTTGTGTCTGTTAACATGCCTTTTGAGTTCCCAGCACAGGGAGTGGAAAAAGGCCTACATTCATTTTATTATTAACTATTGTGAAAATACCATGGATTAAAAGACCATAATAAAAACAATAGCAAATGCTTATATAATACTCTTTGCCAGGCACTGTTTAACTTCTGTAAGCTTCCAACAACCCCATTTTGCAAATGAGGAAGCTGAGGTGCAAGGAGATTGAGAAATTTGGTCAAAGTTGCACTGGCAGTCTATTAAGTAAACAGCTTGCTTCTAAAGTCCTTGCTTCCAATCATGGTGAGCTCCTAAAGCTTCCGGGAGAGGAGATCACAAAGGTCTGGTATCAGACTTCTCAGCAGTGAACCGGAAGCTAAAAGACAATGAGAAAGTGCTTCCAAAACTCTGAGGGTAAGTGATTTTCTCTGTAATTCTATAGCCACGTTTTTTTTTTCAAACAAATAGCCTAAAGATATTTTTAAGACATGCAAGGTATTGAAGTGTTTTCATCACATTCACTGTTTCTCAAGAAACTCCTGGAAGATGTGCTCCAGCAAAACAAGGGAGCAAACGGAGAAAGAGGAAAAACACGGGGTCCAGGAAATAAAACCCAGCACAGGTGAAAGGTGAAGGGAGCTCTCCAGGTAAGAGCTGTCCACCAGACACAGAGAAGAACCAGCCCGGAAAGCTTCTAGGAATAGGAAAATCGAATTGATAGAGTGTTGATATGTTTAATTGTGTGAAAAATTGTATTGGAAGGTAATCGGAAGATGTAAAAAGAATTAGTGATAATTAATAGGAAATTGGGGCTTCTCCAGTGGCTCAGCAGTAAAGAATCCATCTGCAATGCAGGCAACACAGGTTCAATCCCTGGCTTGGGAAGATCGCCTGGAGAAGGACATGGCAACTCACTCCAGTACTGTTGCCTGGAGAGTCCCATGGACAGAGGCCCCTGTCAGGCTGCAGTCCATGGGGTCGCAAAAGAGTCAGGCTCAACTGAGCAACTAAACGCCAGCTACAACAACATAGAAAATCAGCAAATTAAAAAAAAAATGAGGCAGTTATCAAGTCTAGCCAAAAATAAAATGTAATCTAACAATAAATAGATAAATTCAATCAGGTTTTCTCAGAGCTCAAAGCTCTCAAATTACTTTCCACAAAACCCCTGCTTCATCTCAAGGCACTTCATCTCACGGCACACTCACTGCCTTTCTCACTGAACTCTAGCCCATTAGCCTTTCTATGGTACTTCAAACAAATTGAGATCCTTTATTCTCCATCTCTCTATCCAACTGGCTAACTCTCAGTCCTAGCTCAGCTAGAATAAAACCTCTTCATAAAAGCCCTCTCTGACCTCAGCCAACACCCGGCAACTCACCAACTCATCATCCTATTTACTAGCTTTTGTGTGTCTGCGCGCTCAGTTGCTTCAGTCATGTCCAACTCTTTGCGACCCAATGGACTGTAGCCCACCAGACTCCTCAGTCCATGGGATTCTCCCAGGAAGAACACTGGAGTGGGTTGCCATACCTTCTTTCAGGGGATCTTCCTGACCCAGGGATCAAAATCATGTCTCCTGCATTGCAGGCGGATTCTTTACTGCTGAGTCACCGGGGAAGCCCTTTCTTGGCTTCTTAGATATTTTGTTTTTTAATTTGGCCATGCCAGGTCTTAGTTTGAGGTATGTGGGATCTAGTTACCCAACCAGGGATCAAACTTAGGGCCCCTGCATTTGGAGTTCGGAGTCTCATCCACTGGATTATCAGGAAAGTTCCTTCTTAGTTTACTTTTTAACTGTCTTTTTCTGCAAGTGTGTAAGCTGGCAGAGGATGTTCTCTATCCCCAGCACCTGTAACAGTGTCTGGCCCACAGTTATTGCTCAGGATATACTGAATCAATGAGTGAGTGAGTGAGACACACTAGGGACTCCGGCACCATCTGATTTTCACACTTTCCTTGCTCTTAGTGTCTCCTAGTGGTGGAAATGGGTACCACCAATCTCTCAAGACAAGGCTTTGGATAAGAAATTTGGCCCTTGGTTCTGCTTATCAATGAACACAACTCTCTAACTGATTTATTTTGTTGCTTGGGCTGGACAGTAGAAAAGGGCAGGAAAACGATTGGATGCTTCCCTGGCCTGGGTCCTCTTAGTTAACCTAGGAAGGGTTAGGGGGTTGGAATCGAGGTAGGCATCCAACTATTCCTTGAAGAAGGCTTGGGCAGCAAAGTGGAAGTAGCTGGTAATGGGAGGTGACAGGCCTGGGGTGGAAACCAGAACAAAATCACAGGTATAAACAGAGGTGTAACAAAGGTGAAGGAGGATGTCCCAGTGGTGGTGGTCCAGTGGTTAAGAATCCTCCTGACAATGCAGGGGACACGGGTTTGATCCCTGATCTGGGAAGATTTCACATGCCACAGGGTAACTAAGCCCATGGGACACAACTACTGAGCCTGCATACCCTAGAGCCGGTGCTCCACAACTAGAGAAACCACAGCAATGAGAAGCCTGCACGCTGCCACTGGCAAATGGCCCCCGATCACTGCAACTGGAGAAAGCCTGAGGGTAGCAATGAAGACCCAGCACAGCCAAAAATAAATAATAATAAAGAAAAAGCAAAAAAAGTTTTTCTTAAAGGGTGATGGAGAGAAAGAAAGAGGGAGAAAAAGGGAGCCAAAGAAAAGAAAAAGGAGAGGAAATCAAAAGTAGAGAGAGAGGAAGATAAAGACGGACAGAAAGAAGGACAGAAGGAAAGGAGTGCCAGGTGACCTCAGCAGATACTCAGGCACATGTGAGCTGCCTCCTTTTACTCCTTGCTGAAGAGCACTGGGGAATTCTGGGGAGCTTCAGCCTCCGCCCTTCTGGATGATCTCAGATGAGTCTCCAGACCTCTCTGAGTCTCAGTTTCCTCATTTGTAAAATAGACACAGCCATAATCACCTATGGCACGCAAGTCATGGAGAGGATCCCATGAGATACCCTCCTCTAAATTAGTATGTATAGATCAATTCAAGTACCATGTCCTGGGAAACAAAAGCCTGACACTGCTTTTGTTCTCCAGGAGACTGGACTGAGGGTGGATCTAGAACAGGGTCACCAATCTCCCCCAAATTAAAGTAAGAAGTGGTAAGTGCCATAGCAATAAGAGTGAAGGAAAGCTTCAGAAGGCTTCCTAGAGGAGGCTTTGAAGCAGGGCTCTACAGGATGGGTGGAATTTGGATTTGGATATGCAGAGAATGGGGATGGGCATTCCAGAAGAAGGGGAGTGGATGAGCAAAGGCAGGGAGAGTGGATTTCAGCCTGTGTGTAGGGGGATATGGCCAGATAAACAGATTGGCGAAGGACTTCTAAGGGTGTTGGGGACTCTCTGGCCTGACGAGGCTAGGCTGGAGTTTCTGAAAAAGGCTCTGTTATGACTACCCCTGAAAAATTTATATGCGTGCATGCTCAATCACTCAGTTGTGTCTGACCCTTTGCGACCCCATGGACTATAACCCACCAGAATCCTTTGTCCATGAGATTCTCCAGGCAAGAATACTGGAGCAGGTTGCCATTTCCTCCTTCAGGGGATCTTCTTGACCCAGGGATTGAACCCATGTCTCTTGCACTACAGGCAGATTCTTTACCACTGCACCAACTGGGAAGCCGATTTTAATTATAGCAGCACCCTTTCTTCCATCCCCAAGTTCAAAACCAATAAGGGCTACTGATCTACCTCCAATAAGAACAGCACTGGGAATTCCCTGGCAATCCCGTGGTTAGGACTCTCTGAGTTTTTATTGCCAAGAGCCAAGGTTCCCTGGTCAGGGAACTAAGATACCACAAACTGCTTAGCGAGGCAAAAAAAAAAAAAAAAGAAGAAAGAAAGAAAACAGAACTGAAATAGATTATTGGGACCCAGCCATTGACAAAATACATATTGTCCTGGTCCTCCTAGCACACATATGAAGTGTCCTTGGAGGCCACCTAGGCCAGATCCCCATTATATAGATAGGGAAATCAAGGCTCAGAGATGAGAAACAGTCTTCTCAAGGGCATTGGCAGGTAGGTTCCCAATCAATCACCTGAGTCCTAGTTTCCCATCTCTCTCTGTTGTCTCTGGGAGCTCTGACTGGCCCAGGTTCCCCTACTCTGACACCACCTTTGCAGTTTACAGGCCTTTGCTGCTTTATTCTCCAGCTGCTGCAGCCACTTCCACTCCAAGTTTCCCCAAAGAGCCTTACTGAGACCAGTTGCACCTGTTTGGCTCTAGTGGGGAAGGTGGCCAAACTCTTGAGTGGTTCAAGGGTGTATGTGTGCATTTACATGTTTGCCTCTTCCAGCAAAAACAAAGTTCCGTCCACTCTGTCATTACACATTTATTAGCCGGCAATGGAGAAACACCTTTGTTTGTTTGTTTTAGCTGCGCTGCCCAGCACGCAGTGTCTTAATTTCTTTTTTTTTCTCTTTATTTTTTTCATTTCTTTTTATTAGTTGGAGGCTAATTACTTCACAACATTTCAGTGGGTTTTGTCATACATTGACATGAATCAGCCATGGAGTTACATCTGTTCCCCATCCCGATCCCCCCACCCACCTCCCTCTCCACCCAATCCCTCTGGGTCTTCCCAGTGCACAAGGCCTGAGCACTTGTCTCATGCTTCCCACCTGGGCTGGTGATCTGTTTCACTATAGATATACATGCTGTTCTTTCGAAACATCCCACGCTCGCCTTCTCCCACAGAGTCCAAAACTCTGTTCTGTACATCTGTGTCTCTTTTTCTGTTTTGCATATAGGGTTATCATTACCATCTTTCTAAATTCCATATATATGTGTTAGTATGCTGTAATGTTCTTTATCTTTCTGGCTTACTTCACTCTGTATAATGGGCTCCAGTTTCATCCATCTCATTAGAACTGATTCAAATGAATTCTTTTTAA